TACGTATGATACAAACAAACTTTTGTCAAAGAATTTGAAAATAACAACTTGGGCCATGTTTAAAGTTCATACGAAACAGTTCATAACACTAGGATTTTACTTTTTAAACATAAAGATTGGTATGAAAGAATGTTAAATTACGTTTGGTAAAAAAATTTTTGCTTTTGCTTAACGGAAAAATGAAGGCCTAAACTTGCCCACTTTATAAATAAATTACCCGCTTATCGTTCTTGATTTTGTGTTTGCATGACGTCACAACGACCCATTGATGTAAACAACGCGTTAGATCTAGTGTAATTTTACTGTATTTTATTGAGTTAATTTTAGTCTTCTTTGTGGATATAAATGTGATTATGTTTTTAGATGAGCTATCTGATACTAAAGAACAGTTTACTCTATTTAAACTTTTCGTTAATTGAGCACAGCAACTGAAAACGAGAGCTCTTCATAGTAAGATGATCCTGGTGAAAACCCTAATGAAATCAAGATTTTTCACTCCAACCAAAATTACTTACTGAGTATTTTAAATTAATACCTTAGAAACAACAATCTCCTTGTTTGTTTTTTTTTATATACGTATATATTACATGATGTACCCCCCCCCCCCCTTTCCCTAAAATAAACACGGGGATATTGAAGTTTATGATAAACAGTGATCTATAAAACGTCGGCGTATTTGAATGCACACTTCTGCAATCTGAAACACGAAAACTCATGATATAGAGAAATAGGAAGTTCATGACGACATCATCGTACTTTTGCTGTCACAAGAAACGTGATTTTAAAAAAACTTACCAGCATTACAAGTATGCACGTGAATATACCTGTACTGTAATGTTACATTACCGATACTTCTATAACAGTTTGATTGAGTAACTGCAGTTTGAAAATACTCATACAGTGCGTGCATAAGATGATCCGTTGAAAAGAAAACCATGCCCCCAATGCCCATTGTTTGCGAGACTGAACCTAAGCAATTTTAAGAATCAAATATTTTTTTACAGTTAAACAATCTTTTCGCAGGATTTAATCTTTGTTAAAATGAACTGATACAAATTTAGAAAATTTGATTTGTAAATACATACAGACACGTAGGATTTCATATATAGATAGAATTGCGTTTAAGGTCCGAGGCTAACTTTTTAAAATTATTACGATATTTAAAAAGGCACATAGTACAGTGTTATGTGTAAATGTACCGACTTTGGTAAAAAAAAAAAATACGGGATGAGAAAGAGTCAATGAGAAAGGGAAAGCCAAAGAAACTGAATAACTGAAAGAGGACAAGGCGAGGTAGCGATATCATAGAATAATTTCATTTGCATAAACAGTTAATAAATGACATCTTTTATCCTTAGGTGTAGTTTTACTTTCACACACCGCTGTCAATCGAATCCAGCTTTACTTATATGCGCGTGCTACCGATCGATAATCGATAGTGCTCATATTCTGATCGTTCTTAAAAAATTTTTGGAAATTTAACAAATCATATTTTTGTGTTAGAAATTTATTCAACTGTAACGGTATTTGAAAGCCTCTATATTTATATATTACTCGAGCACAGAAGTTCTGCTCTCTTTTGCCATCGTTTTTTCTCCCTTTCTCATTATATTAGAATGTAGAAGGATGACAATAAATAACACGGATAAAACATGCTAAAATCTTGTAAACATGCAACAGGATGTTAAAAGACGAACAATATGATAATATCTGGTTTGAAAATTATATATTCATGCAAAATTTCAGTCAAGACAATGCTATTTCTTAAAAATTACGCTGCATAAGACATGATCGGCTATATAAATAATAGTACTGAATGTAGCGAGTGGGTCTTATTGACGTCATAAGCAAAGGGAGATAAGCCGCACTAGTTGAAGTTCATCTTCGCAGTCAAGTATCTTTGATCGACTCTGCTGCCTCCAACTTGCGTAAAAAATGCATTTTGTTATGCACGCACGAGTCACTGTATTGTCACTAAATATGTCTCAGTTACATATATCAAAAATATATAAATTAATGTAAGATATAAAGCAATCATTTATGTACCTTGAAAGAATATGAATGCTGCATTTACTAATTACAGAGTCTTTACAGTAATGGTCTACATAAAATAAATGCAAGCATCAATAAAAGTGTAGCCATTTTGTCACGGGTATAAAAGACGTCATTTTACGCAATGTATACTTATCACGTCAGGAGCGTCAAATAATTATCGCCATGGCTTTTTTATGCAGGTCCGTAGTACCAGCTCACAGGTACTTGTGGACATGCAGGAACCAACCCCCCCCCCCCAACCCCCGCCATCCCCGATATTAAACCTGGAGATTGTTGGAGATTTTTTCACAAATTATATTTATTTCACTTAATCATCATGTGTACATGTACCAAAGGAAAAAATTACGAAAACCCCAAAATGATATCTTTCCACAAAATATACCCTAGTAAACGAAGTATGCATTATAAGAGACCTCCCCCCCCATTCTTTCACCAAAAATAGTAAAAAGATTATAAACTTTTCGTGATAAATGATAAACCAGATTTTCAATAATGGTGAAACGTCTCCACCCTAGTAAACGAAGTATGCATTATAAGAGACCTCCCCCCATTCTTTCACCAAAAATAGTAAAAAGATTTTAGACTTTTCGTGATAAATGATAAACCAGATTTTCAATAATGGTGAAACGTCTCCATCCCTCCTTTTTTCATCCCCTCAATATACTAAATTGATACTTATTTTTTAAATTCAAAATGACACCAGTTCCATTGAAACGTAGGAAGTATAAAAAATTTAACTTTCATTGCTTTTCTCAATACACCCAAAGCGCATGCGGACGATATATAGAAATAAAAGACTTAATTGTAATAACCTAACTGAAAACAAGAGGCCCAAGGGCCTTGAATCGCTCTTCTGATAAATTGTACAACCTATCACTTGTATTTGAAGCCTCTAACCCTAAGTATCCTAAAACCAAAGTTGCATCACCTGACAAAGTTTGATGATTCTAAGCCAATAAGTACCTAAGATACATAAATGTAGCAATAAAATGTTAAAAGTAGGTCACCGTGACCTCCTTTTTGGTCGACATTCTCCGAAAACCCAAGATGCATCAACTGACAAAGTTTGATGATTCTAAGCCAATAAAGTACCGGAGATACTTAAATAGAGCCATAAAATGTCTAAAGTAGGTCACAGTGACCTAATTTTTGGTCGTCACTCTCCGAAAACCCAAGATGCATCAACTGACAAAATTTGATGATTCTAAGCCAATAAGTACCGGAGATACTTAGATATAGCCATAAAATGTCGAAAATAGGTCACTGTGACCTAATATTTGGTCGTCACGCTCCGAAAACCCAAGATGCATCAACTGACAAAGTTTGATGATTCTAAGCCAATAAATACCTAAGATACTTGAATATAGCCATAAAATGTCGAAAGTAGGTCAACGTGACCTACTTTTGAGTTAACATGATGTGAAGTCCTAAGATGCATCAACTTACAAGATTTTATGATCTTAGTCCTTATAGTAAGCAAAATATAAACATTTTTATTAATTGTAAATTTAGGTCAACTTTAAAGTGACCTTGAGACCACGCCCTTTGCCCCAGGGTCATGCCTTGAACAATTTTTAATCTTCAATATATCCTGATCCTTGTATGTAAGTTTGGTGAAAATCTGCCTGGCAGTTCTGGAGAAGAAGATTTTTTAGCAACTAGTACTTTTGGTTTTGTTTTCCTGATTATCTCCCCTTGTTTTAGGGTCCCATCCCTTATTTTAGTATAAAAGGTAGCCCTTGGGCCAAGGATACCCTGTGGCAAATTTGGTACTGATTGGCCAAAGGGTTCTTGAGTTATGGCCCATATTCTAAAAAGTTAACGCACACCGCACACCGCACAAATGGCCATAGCATTAGCTCTTTGAGCCTTTGGCTCAGAAGAGCTAAAAATATTGATGGAGGTTGAAAGGGAAACCTACATATATATTTTCTCCTTATAAGACAGACAAGTGAGAAAAATAGAAAGAGGAATATTCACTGAGTGCCTTTGGGATTTCAATAATTAAAATTGATTATTTAGATTTATTAATAAACATCTAAATATTTCAAAAAGAAAAGGAAGGTTCAAACAATGAAGATTATGTGCCCTTTTATTTTATTTTATTTTTTTTTATACTTTTGAAAAATAAAATTCATTTATTAAAAGATCTAAAATATGCATGCACAAAGTTCAAAACGTTATAACAACGTTATGACTTTTTAACGTTATTTTGACGTAACGTCAATATGTACCAACACCGTGCACAACGTCGTAACATTTACAGATTAAAGTGTACAATTTACAGATTAAAGTGTAAAATTTACACTTTAAAGTGTAAAATTTACAGATTAATGTGTAAAATTTACAGATTAAAGTGTAAAATTTACAGATTAAAGTGTACAATTTACAGATTAATGTGTAAAATTTACAGATTAAAGTGTAGAAATTAAAAAAAAAGTGAAGTGTCTAAGTGGCACTTATACGCTTCCGTAGGAAATCTATTATATGCATCGATTGCGATAAAATTAGGCCCAAAAAATATATACCAATCCAGGAATATTTTTTTGTTTGTATCATCTGTCCTTAAATATGAGTCAAACCATTGTATTGCTTTGGGGTCAAATTTGTAGCAACGTTGCTGTCTAACAATTGTTATGTTAGACCAGCAGGCCAGTCAAAAAGGAAATTGTTAGACCAATGTAATAAACATTTTTATTAGTACATAATATATAGAAAGCTGTTCATCAGAGTGTAGCAAAAAAATGTATTAAAAAGCTATGTATCCCTGATACTTTGATTACGGGGGCATACAAAAAACTTATTTTATGGGGGTGGGGGTGATAATGCTTCAGTTATACTTAAATTTCCATACCGACTTTCTATACCAATCAAGCACAGACAAGATGTAATCCTTCCCCTTTTCTGCTGAAGGAATTGGTTATATAAGACTACACATTATCAAGACGTCGGACTACCGGGCTGTCGGACTATCGGTCCGTCGGACTACTGGGCTGTCGGACTATCGGACCGTCGGACTACTGGGCTGTCGGACTATCGGACCGTCGGACTACTGGGCTGTCGGACTATCGGACCGTCGGAATACTGGGCGGTCACCATTAAAAGGAAGGGTTTCTCTTCCAAACTTTTAAATATCATGGCCCCTGAGCCATGGGTTCTTGTGTCAGTGTGGACTGGAATAATTATAAAGAAAAATACATAATTTATTTGAAAATCTTTTCCTCTGTCTTTAGGGTTTTATGAAAGCAAACTAAATTCATGTTTATGATGAGAAAAGTTACCTTAACTAAAATTGAGAAAATGCAATAATTCTTTGAAAATCATCAAAAATTTTTACCAAGTACACAGTTATGATGAGGAAAGTTGCCTGGGTCAGGGCTTCTGATGTTAGCGCGGGGCTCTATTGATTATATAGTGAAAATGCATTAATTCCTTGAAAATCTTTTTCTCTACTCCTTCGTATTAGACCTATGACCTATAGTTCAAAATGCGGAAAGGTGCATATTTCAATATTATGAATTTCATGGTCCTAAGTCGGGGGTTCTGGTGTAAGGGTGGGAGTCTATTAGGTGTATAGTGGAAATGCATTATTTCTTTGTAAATTAGTGTAAAGAAGCTCTTTTACGATATAAATATTAAGCTCAACATTTAATTCAACGTAAATAACGGGCTATTTCAAAGCAAAGATATGTTGTCCTTGAGGAAAAGCGACAACCATCCTACCCTCAAATCCAGGCTTTCCTTTATAAGTGCTCCTAACACCATTACTATAGCCACTAGAAAGGTTTTCCTATCCAGATTAATTCTGTACCTCCGAAGACGATACAGGTTTAAGGACGTTCGATCCTGATATTTTGAGCGTATTTCGCGCAGGTCCTTTATTCATAAAATTAAGCATTATTTTTAGGTTCATACAATAAAATTGAATTCTACAATGCAAATTAAACTATATTCAATGAAAAAACCGCGATTAAATTCCATTCAAGTAAAATTAAACTAGGGACTATATTTTGTGGCGGAAGGTTTTTTAGACGAAAATGATCAGTTTCTTCCATTTGAACTATAACAGTACTGTTAATTTTGGATGCCTATTTTTCCATGCTGGTTGCACACAAAGCTGTTTTTTGCAGTGAAATATGTTATGCTGGTTCTGAAATGTCTAATAAATTATTTCTTATGAATTCTATCAACAAAGTGTGACAAAAATAGTGAATATATTCTGAAAATCCGGGAAAAAATTGAGCCAATTTTAACGTAAAATTCACACTTTTTAGTAATATCTGAAAATGTACATCATATACCCCCACTTTTGATGTTCTTTTCTAAATATTCAAGATAACTTTGACCTATTTGCTTAAAATCAGAAAAAGTTTAAGACTTAAAAATAATTTTCTTGCTTATCATATTTTCAATGCCGAAAAAATAACATTTTATTAGTGCAAAAAGGTCAAATAATTGATTATGCGAAGCAATTTGAAACTTTTTCTTAGTCACAATTTTTAAGTGTCTTTTTTTAAACCGACTTAGAGTTCATTTTGTTTCATGCTTTAATTGGATAAAAATATTGGAGGGAAAACGTCAAAAAATTGATTTTTAATTAAGACACAAATTTCAGTGCAGAAAGGTCATATTAAATGTACTGTAGCGCTAAAAGAAGCATATTGAGTCCCATTTTTTGATTTGAATTTTAATTAAGCTATGTATATAGAAACTAAAAATATACTTGGCAAAAAAAGTTTAAGACTTTAAATATCAGGATCGAACGTCGTTAAATGTAAACATGTAAAGTAAACAGTCAACTGTTAAAGTCGGTGCTTCTCGTAAAAGTCCACTATGCTGAAAATCTAAATACATAGTTATATGAGCAAGTTTAAGGGTGCTTCTTCCAGAATTGTGAATTTCAAGGCCGTTGGGGGGTGTTTGGTCTCTTATGATTTTATACTGAAAATATTTGAAATCTGTAAAGTAAAGGTGCCTTTTCTAAAATTTTGAAATATGTTGCCCCAGGGTTAGGCGTTCTTGTGGTGTGGGGCACTATTGCTTATAGAGTAAGCATTTTTTCTTTGTTCCTCTGCTCTGTCTCTGGATATTAAGTAATGGAAGTAAGCATGCAAAATGAATAGTAAGAATGAGCAATATTGCCTCTTTCAAAACTGTGAATCTATGTCCTCTCGTTTTAAATATAAATAAAAATGAAGTTCAATTGTTGGATAGTTGTCAGGATTATCAGGTGCATGACCCATGAGGCCTTGTTCTTAAATATACGGATGTCAAAACTTTTTAGAAAATTCATAAAAAAGTGGTTAAAATTGAATCAACATATTTTTTTTGATAATAGAATTTCTGTATTTCTTTCGGATTTTGTTCTTAAAATTTGGATAGATATGGAATGAATATTAGCTTCCGTAGTAATGCTTCGATCTTATGCTGCGTATTATAATTATTTTCATGGTGGTGTATTAATACTTTAGCAATGATTAGGATATACTTAAAACATTATAATTATTGCATATGAATACTCATGATACCAGGCAAGCGTGTTTCGCAATGATGAAATGAAATATGGAGATATTAAGGAACATGATTTTTTAAAATACATTCAAAAAAGGTCTAACACACACCTCTTAAACATGGGAATGGGACCAGGTGCCATGATGGAGTGAGCATCCCCAGTTGACCAGAGAAAGAAATCTGTAGACAACAGGGTGAAGATAATAATCTAACAAATAATTTGTATGAAGAACCTCAGTCAAGATCTGCATTATTTCCACAGATATGCCTGGTGACTGTAAAGCTCTGTATGACAGAGGACACAGAACGTCTGGTGTGTACACTATCTACCCCTGGGAGAGGTACAGTTCCGTGTGTCGGTCAGCCAGGGTCTTCTGTGATATGGGGACAAATGCAGGGGGATGGACGGTAGGTTCTAACAAAACTAAAGCAAGAATTCCATTTTCTGTGCCTTATTGCTCTTTCAAAAACATAAAAATCACCAGGAACTTGAACAAAGGAAACATTATGTTTGTTTAAATATTTTCGTTTTAAATTTATGAAAATTTGATTTTAAAAGGCTATCCAAATGCGAAGAACTGGATCAGTTAACTTTACCCGGAATTGGAATGAATACAAGGTCGGGTTCGGAAACCCAGAAATAGATTACTGGATTGGTAAGGCACAAAATTATATTTTTAAAAATGATTGTCTGAAAAGCCTTCTTTAATTGATAATCAAGATGGATTGAGAAATGTTATGGTTTTGAATACTTTCTGTCTGTCTGTTACACCCAGGAGGTACATGTATGAATATGGTATTTTGCACTCCGAAAGTGTTTGACTTTTGTTACTGACCTCGCGACCCTGAACTTGATCTCTGACCCGTTTTTGTAAATAGTTAACTTTCCCGATGAGAGCTAATTTAACATTTTGAAGTAAGTTCAAGTGTACACTCTTTTCCATAAATTATTTAAAAACAATCTATTAAAATTTTTTTTTTTTAAAATAGCACAATTATAAAACGTGTGTTATCTGAGTTATAAAGGCTAGACTTTGATCATAAGCATTAATGATCGCAAGAACTGCTTTCTAAGATATGTGCTAAATAATCTGCTTTACACAATTACCCAATTAACTGAAATTTAAATGCTTTGAAAGAAAATAAAATAACAAAATCAATAGTTTTACACTTCAAAATCGGCGAATAATGATTGAAACAACGCAGATCGATACCATTACAAATATACTAGCTGCAAATTAAAGCTTTAATAATGTAAAGGAAGCAACAATGCGTAATTTGCATACTCGAAACATTTTCATGATAAATTGAGTAGAGAGCAATGTATATATTTTTTAATTTAAATTAATACATTTCTTATTTTAAAAAAAATCAATACACTAAAGCGAATATTTCTTACAGGAAATGACGCAATTCACCAACTAACACGAGACCGTCCCTCACTGTACGTTTCCCTCACACTTAATGACGTATCTACAAAATACGAGCTGTATAACGAGTTTTCGGTATCAGATGAGAATGACAACTTCAAGCTCTTCCTCGGGGGACCAGTCTCAGGAACTCTTGGTAAAACAAAAACACTTCTGCAAATGAAACATTGAGACATGAAAATTCACTACAGAAAGTTGATTGATTGATTGTATACTATTTAACGTCCCTCTCCAGAATATTTCACTGATATGGAGGCGTCACCATTGCCGGTGAAGGGCTGCAAATTTAGGCCTATACTTGGCACTTACGGCCTTTGAGCAGGTAGGGATCTTTATCGTGCCACGCCTGCTGTGACACGGGGTCTCGGTATATACGGTCTTATCCGATGGACCGCCCCATTTAGTCGCCTTTTACGACAAGCAAGGGGGTACTGGGGACCTATTCTAACCCTGATCCCCACGGGGAAAGAAATAATTAAATCAATTTGCTACAGAAAGTATATGATAGTCAAAAATAGAACATCATGAATATAAGAGTAAAGATTTTTTTACTTGTTACAACGTACATTTGTGTACATTACTTAAATAATGTAATTGAAATGGTGCTTTCATGAAATTCTTACTTTTTTCCTAAAAGAATTCCCGTGAGTTTGTATTAATTTTGTTAGTACACATGTGTAAGAAATAAATTTTATGCATAACCTGCTCTGTTTGGCACTATTTATAGTTATTTTAGAATTTTAAGTCTACTTCTAAGAATCACTGCCTCTATTTTATGTGACAACCATATATAAACAGTAATGGTTAATGACACAGAAATATCCTGACAATGGCTTTTAAATATTAAAAATGAAGCAAAATTATATTGTTTTGTTTAAACAGGTGACAACATGTTATCTACGGATCGTCCGATCGCTGGAATGGCATTTTCGACCCTGGACAGAGATAACGATAATAAAGGCGGGGGGTATAGCTGTGCCGTGACTATGGCGGGAGGCTGGTGGTTCAATGCCTGCCACCGGGCCTTCCTTAACGGGCCCTGGGCCCCGGGGAATTGGCGGGAACCCTGGTCACCAGGTTTGATGGATGGATTGGCTATCACCGAGACTAGAATGATGATAAGAGCTCGCTAAATACACGGTATGGTTTTGTAGTTTTCTTAAATTATAATTTTTTTGTAATTATTGAAATAAAAAAAAATTGAGATTATGTAGTGTTTTATTTTTTGTATTAAGTGAAATACAAGAGGCCCACAGGTCTTAAAGGTCACCTGAGAATTGTGCATCAACTTTCAAACAATTAAATTTGGTTCGTGTTTTTAAACAGAGGCCATGAAATTCGCAATTCACGGTTTTGAAAGAGGCACCATTGCTTATCATAATTATAGACTTAGCATGCTTACTCTATTTACTAAATACCCAGAGGTAGATCAGATTAACAAAGAGAAAATGCACTTTCTACTTTATTATAACCAGTTGTGCACCTTGTACCAAAGGAACCACAGAGCCTGGGGCCACCCCCCCCCCCCCCCCCCCCACACACACACACTCGACCCAGGGAGTGGGAGGGGTAAAAATAAAATTTTGCTAGGTGCACCTTTCTTCATCATAAATATATATATATACTTGGATCATTGGCAAAAAACCCAGGAGCAAAAGAAAAATTTTTCAAAGAATTAATGTATTTTCACTATAAAATCAATAAAACCTGCCCTAACATCAGAACCCCTGACACCGGGCCATGCGAGCACTCTAACCACTACGCCACGGGCTCTATTGAAATTGTCCTGTATTATTGTCGAGGATTTCTTTTGATTCATTGACCAGTCAAGAAGTTCCAGTTAATAAACTTCTGAAAAGCTCCTGGGTGTATATGTGAGTTTGAATGAGATTGTTTTCGAGTTAAGATGTAAAGGATATAGTCTGGTTACAATTATGATATTGCTATTAACGGGAATGCATGCATTTGAGGTTGCGTAGCAATTTATTTATTTAAAAAAAAACCTTAAGCTTGTTTGTGACCTTTGGGTCTAAGAGGTCAAAGGTCAAAGTCATTTATCAAGGTCAAAGGTCAATGTCATCCATAAAAAAAGCACTTATAAACTTGAGTTATACACTTGAAGCTGAATCTAGGAAAAGGTAATGAATATATCTTTTTAACTTTTGAGAAAAGGTCAAAGGTCAAATATAAAGGTCAAGGTCATTTTAACCCAAAACCGGAAAATAAGCAATTTTGATACTTTCCTAATGACCTTGACCTGATATTCAAGGTCAAAGTAAAAAGATCTCATGCAGTTGGGCTCATGTCTTTACGACTTGTCATTAAGAAGTTTTTAGTTCTTTGTAAACATCATAAACTGGCAGGGGCAATAACTACTTAAATTGTTTACGAAACCTTTCGCACTTATAGAATGAGAAGTGTACTAAATTAGTTGCAGACATTGTTGAAGGTTTTGTACCTCTACGGTTTACGGTTTCGGAGGAGTAGCGATAACAAGAGTTAACACTGAAAGGGGCACTAACTGTTAGAGGGTTCAATCTTTTTAATGGTTTTAAGAGTACATACTGAAGATGCAAAAATGTTTAGAATTTGGTTAAGAACAAAAGAGCTATAAAAAATGCTTAATTTTACATATTTGGAATGACCTTGACCTAGATTTTCAGGTCTAAGGTAAAGAAATATTTTGCCGTTTGCCCCCTTGTCTCTACGCCCTGTCGTTTTAGAAAAGTTCTTGATATTCGTAAACATTGCAAACATTCAGGGGCAATAATTCATTGTAGTGGTTTACGAATCCTTTCGCAATGTTTGATTGGAGAGTCTACTAAATCGGTCATAATCACTATTAAAGGTTTGGAATCTATGCGGTTTAGGGTTTCGGAGCAGTAACGATAACGATAACAATCTTTTATTGCGAAAGGGGTCGTTACTCTGAAAGGGGTCAAAGTTCATATACGCAGGGTCAACTGCGAAAATCTTTTATGAAGTACATTCTTGTCGACTAAAAATCTTTTCGATAAATCTTGAAACAAAAAATCACACGGCGGAAAAATAATAAAAAAGAAGAAACAGAAGGAAACCAATAGGTCTTTCCAAGAAAGTTGGAAAGATCTTACAAGTTTGGGAAAGATCAAATTGTTTTCTCCCCAAGAAAAATATGATCAAGCTAGGGTGATTCTGAACGAGAATGTCACAATTCCAGCCCAATCAGAAATGTTTAAGGTAGGAACAATAGATAGAGAATTATTAGGGGAATATTGTCTTCTAGAACCCTCAGATTACATTAGACATACAGGTTTATTAGCGGCTAGGTCAGTAGTTGCGCCAGAAAAAGACAACCAAACAGTCTGTTTATCAGTACTGAACCTTAGTCAAAGGGGTATCAAGCTTACAAAAGACTCTATTGTTGCTTCTGTACAGGGTGTTTCAACAGTCATAGTCCCAACTGACTTCGATGAAAATTTGGATGGGAAAAATCATGGCAATGAACTTCCTGATCACTTGAAATCTTTGCTAGATGGTAATCCATCTGATCTCTCAGCTGAAAATCGACAAAAATTGAAAGATCTGATTTTTGAATTTCAAGACATATTTTCTTATCCCATGGGTCCTTTAGGTCACACTAAGTTAGTGGAACATGAGATTGATACGGGAAATCAAAAGCCAGTGAAAATACCCACTCGTAGAGTCCCGTGGTCACAAAAAGAAATCATTGATAGGGAAATTGACTGCATGTTAGAACAAAAGATTATAGAACCAAGCAATGGTCCATGGTCATCTCAAGTTCTCTTAGCTGTTAAAAAAGATGGGAGTCCTCGATTTTGTATTGATTTTAGGAAATTAAATACCCTAGTAGAGAAGGATGCTTATCCTCTTCCTCGAATCGATGAAACCATCGATACTCTCACGGGTCAACAATGGTTCTGCACTTTAGATCTTGCAAGTGGTTACTGGCAAATACCTATCGCTGAAAAAGATAAAGTCAAAACTGCATTTAGTAGTCATAGAAGCCTTTTTCATTTCAATGCCATGCCCTTTGGCTTATCTAATGCCCCTGCTACTTTTGAAAGGCTCATGGAGACTGTTCTTAGAAACTTACAATGGAAAAAGTGTTTGTGTTACCTTGATGATGTCATTGTCTTCGGCACAGATTTTGAATCCACTCTGTCAAATCGTAGAGAAGTGTTTATTAGATTCAGGGAGGCCAATTTGAAATTAAAACCATCGAAGTGTAAATTGTTTCAGAAAGAGGTTCAATATTTAGGGCATATTGTTTCTGGTCAAGGTGTACAAACAGACCCATCAAAAACTTAGATTGTTGAAAATTTGCAAATACCCAGCACTCTTAAAGAAGTGAGAAGGTATTTAGGGTTTGTAGGATACTACAGGCGATTCATCCAAGATTTTTCAGAAAATGACAGTGCTTTGGTAAATTTGACAAGGAAAAAAAATTCATTCATATGGGATGAAAATTGTCAGAAATCATTTGAAATTTTGAGAAGTGCTTTATTAACAACTCCAATTTTGGCTTACCCTAATCACAGTGGGAAATTTGTTTTAGACACAGACGCTAGTGGTTTTGGTATGGGCGCTGTTCTTTCACAGATACAGGATGGAGAAGAACGGGTCATAGCGTAAGCAAGTCCCACCCTTAACAAAGCACAGAGACAATATTGTACAACTAAAAGAGAGCTCTTAGCTGTAGTCATATTTCTTAAACATTTTAGACACTGTTAGGTCAGACCATGCTCCTTTTTTATGGTTGAAAAGGTTATTGCTTATGCAATAGTAATGCGTCTATATGTATATATATATATATATATATATATATATATATATATATATATATATATATATATATATATATATATATATATATATATATATATATATATATATATATATATATATATATATATATATATATATATATATATATATATATATATATATATATATATATATATATATATATATATATATATATATATATATATATATATATATATATATATATATATATATATATATATATATATATATATATATATATATATATATATATATATATATATATATATATATATATATATATATATATATATATATATATATATATATATATATATATATATATATATATATATATATATATATATATATATATATATATATATATATATATATATATATATATATATATATATATATATATATATATATATATATATATATATATATATATATATATATATATATATATATATATATATATATATATATATATATATATATATATATATATATATATATATATATATATATATATATATATATATATATATATATATATATATATATATATATATATATATATATCTGTCTGTCTACAATTTTTCAAAATGCTACTCCTCCTACAGTTTTGGTCTGATTTCAGTATAACTTGGCACACAAGTAGACTACACTAAGATACATAATTCTGTGTATCTGTTTTTGATTTCGATGAAAGGTGTTGCCGTGGTTACTAAAAATAGAAATTTCTGTGAAATTTTTTTCAAAATGCTACTCCTCCTACAGTTTTGGTCTGATTTCAATATAACTTGGCACACAAGTAGACTACACTAAGATACATAATTCTGTGTATCAGTTTTTGATTTTGTTGAACGGTGTTGCCGTGGTTACTAAAAATAGAAATTTCTGTGAAATTCTTTCAAAATGCTACTCCTCCTACAGTTTTGGTCTGATTTCAGTATTACTTGGCACAAAAGTAGACTACACTAAGATACATAATTCTTTTTATCGGTTTTTGATTTCGATGAACGGTGTTGCGGTGGTTACTAAAAATAGAAATTTCTGTGAAATTCTTTCAAAATGCTACTCCTCCTACAGTTTTGGTCTGATTTCAATATAACTTGGCACACAAGTAGACTACACTAAGATACATAATTCTGTATATCGGTTTTTGATTTTAATGAACGGTGTTGCCGTGGTTACTAAAAATAGAAATTTCTGTGAAATTCTTTCAAAATGTTACTCCTCCTACAGTTTTGGTCTGATTTCAATATAACTTGGCACACAAGTAGACTACACTAAGATACATAATTCTGTGTATCGGTTTTTGATTTTGATGAACGGTG